GATACCGGATCCTCCCCCTTCGCTCAGAGAGGGAGAGACAGCCTAAACGAGAGCCGCTTTTGCAGATGAGGAAACTGAAACAACAGCAGGCAGAGCAACTCCGAATTACCCCGAGTCGGCAGCAGCTGGGATTCCCTCCGCTGCCCCGGCCGAGCTGCCTCCAGCTCCTGCCCTCTCCTCGCACCACTTCCTCTGCTCCATCCCCGAAAAGCTCCTGAGCCACTTTCCATCGCCAACAGCTCGAACGGAGCCTCCTGACCAACGAGACGCAGCCTGAGCCCTTCACGAGGGTCCCCTGCAGCACCTGCCAGCATTACAAAATTAAAATGAACAAAAACACTAAGATATAAGTTACTGCTTAAATTATTTGTAAAATGTCTTAGATTTTCTGTGACACGTTTTAAATACCCCCCAGGGCCCCCACAGTACGTGATCCCCAGAGGGGGCTTCAGTTCCAGCAGGGACAGACCCCACCACTAACTGGAAGTCGGTGGGGGAGGGAGCGATGAACGGAGAAAGGGTTTCTCATCCTTTCACAGCTTCAACAACTCCGCGCTCTAAATACCAATAATAAAAGTTATAATAAAAATAGTTCTTCGTGAGGCAGTGGAGACCAAACAGCCCTTTCCCTCCCCTGCAGGGGCGTTTGTCCGTGTTGGCGGCTCTGGAGCTCACGGCAGCCCGGGGGTTCAAGTACTCGCCACACGAGTGGAATTCGAAGCCAGGGGCCCCGATGGGCTGCATGCCCTGCGCACTCAACAGCGAGTGCAACATATTGACTGTATCCTGGTAGTCACTGGCTTGGTTTGTGTTGTGCCCGTTGGCCCCCGTGGGACCCTTGTCCAGTTTGCCGTGGGGACCCCTGGCTTTGTTGGCCTGGGGTAAGGAGAGGCCACCTGCTTCTGAGCTGTGCCCTGGGAGATGGGCTGCCCCAGGCAGGTGGGGATACGGAAACTGCATGCCAGGGCCTTTGGAGCTTTTACTGATTTTGGGCTGGTGCTCGTGTCCTGCGGCTGCTGCCTCCTCTGGCAGGGGCCTCTTGCGAGAAGAGCCATACAAACTGTAGCTTTTGTGGGGCACAGTGCTCGGCTGGCTGCCATGTTTAGAGTCTCCTGGCCGCTTGTTGCCCACATTGCTGGGGCCAGCTCCAAGCGGGACGTGCAAGTGTTTGTGAGAGTGGTGGTTGTGGTGGTGGTGGTGGTGGTTAGAAGAGTGGCCCTTGTGTTTCTCCTTGTGATCTCGGCTTTTGCCACTGCTCTCGTCCGAGGAGCTGTGCCTGTCTGCAGCAGTTGGCACCTTGATCCGCATTTTTATCTCCTCCTGCTTGGAGGGGAGCGGTCTGTCCCCACCTCCTCCTGCCACTGGGATCCTCAGCTTCAGAGCTGAGGCTTTGTCACTCTTTTCAGGGGCAGGACGCTCGGGGTTCTCCGGGCCACCGATGGGGATTTTCAGGATGATTGGAGAGGGGTTGCTGTCCTGCTGGACTTCTCTCTCCCGCTGCTGCTGGACCAGGAGATTCTGCGCCGCATAGGCATACTGAGACCGCACATTGGCCTCCATGTTCTCTAGCTGACGCTTCTGTGCCGCCAACTCCTCTGCGTGCTTGGCCCGGTACTCCTTGAGCGACACCTTCGCCGATGGGGCATTCTTGCCGCTCTGCTTCTGATAACCAGCGCCATCTTGCTGTAAAGGATGCTCAGCAGCTGATGAGCTTTCGTTAGTCCTGTGACTCTGGCCAGCCTCCAGCTTGGGTGGAGGATGCTGGGACAGCCAGTGCTCAGGCTGGGACATATCTGCACCACCCTGGTCGCTGGGCGAGTCTGCTGCGGCTGGCAGAGATGGCCCTGCTCCAGCAGTCGAGGACGTTGACATGCTCATTAAACCTGCAATGTTCATGTCAGAACTGTTGTTCCTGGAAATCATGTTGAGAATCGTCTGCTCCGAGAGGCTCTCCTCTTCGCCGTGGTCGTCAGCCTTTGACTTCTTGGCTGCTTGAGAGGCCTAGAATAAAAGCAGAGACCAGTGACTTAGTTTGTGCTGTCACCAGTATGGTAGACCACTAGAGAGGACAAAAGCGTAAGTTATCCCGCTGGCTGATCTAACAACAGGCCTAACATCTCTGGTGACAGAAGCTCAAGAGAGCATTTTACAGAGCGACACACGCTCAGTGTGAAGAACAGACGCCAACAAAACGCAGCCTGATCTGCAGTGCCAGGCAGCGATCAGGAGTAGCAGGGAACGGCCAGTCTGGCTGAGCCTGGATGACGTAATGGCTGAGTAGGCAGCTGGTTTGATGCAACAGGCTCACCCTGTGAAGGGCAAGCTCCGATTTAAAGACAGGCCCGCTCTGCCCCTACTTCTCCTTGCAGCAGAAGACCCTACCCAAACACAGAAGCGGGGTCACTAAATCAGTTGAAAAAGCAAGGTCTTTATAGAGTTAATTCAAAACTCAATTACTGAACATACGTTTTGCAGACCCAAAATGCTCAGATGTCACCCCCTCCACGCCCTTCAGACAACTATCTTGTCCTGTAATATCAGAGATGCCACACAACCTCACGCACCCGGAAAAAAATCAGAGTTTGCATTCTCCTGCAAGCGACAATAGTCCAAAGCAGACTCTTACCCGCCAGTTCCGGATACGTTTAAGCCGGTTGGGAGTTTTCTCGAGGATCTGCAGGAATTCATGAGTCAGTTCTGCAAAGGAGACACAAACACAGGCAAGATGGTTAGGGACACACAGACCAGCCCTAGCCTAGCAGGGCAACCCCCTGCTTATTGATGAATGGAGCTACTGATGAGATGGAGCTACTCCAGGAGGGGAAATACTGAGAACTAGTAACACTGACCACGTTTAGACTCATCTCACTGTGTGCCTTTTGCCATCTCTATTGTACCATAGAAGCTGCTGCACTGGAAACCTTGGCAAGACCAGAAGCCCTTGAGTCCATGAACTGGCCAGTGGCCATGTTTGAATGGCAGACCCAGGAACAGAGATGCCAAGATAATATAAGAGCCTTTGGGGGGACCTTGCTCCAAAACTTACCATCTAAGAGCTCCAGAGTTACAGTGCCATCAACGTATTCCCACCAGTGCTTCCCGTCCGTGGAGACTGGGATCTCCCAGTTGGACCACTTACAAGCCAGGTGGATACAGACGCAGGCCACAACGGGAGGGGTGTACTGCAGGCTGAAGGTGGTCAGGTGCAGGCTGACGTCACCAGCAGGGAGAGAGAAACAGAAAGCCATGAACTCCCAAGCCTGAACCTCAGCACACACAATCGCCCGCTGAACAGACACTGCGGAAGAGGCGGACACGGTGGGGAAGGTCCTGCAATCCTCCCCCAGGACAACCCTGCTGTTACAGGCGTCTCTATCCTGCTCTGCCAATTCACTTGTTACTTCCCTGTTCTGCTCCAGCCAGTTCGGGTCCAGGCACCTCTGTCAGCTCAAGGCTCTGTAGCTAGTGCAGGAGTGGCAAGGCACACTGCTGTCCCGCTAAAGCCCTCCTCCAAGGGAATAAGCGAGCAGTTGGGTTATCTGCCAACCCCTAACCTCTGTTGTGGACTCTGTTCAACCTGAGAAAACACTCAAAACGTTTCCAAGTGCAGCTCCTGGGAAGCCAACATCACTGGTGAAGGGCATCGCTACCGTTCCAAGAACCGACTGTTCAAACAAGGAAGCTCCTAGGATCTGCACTCACCCCCTCACCTCCCTTGAGGAACACCAAGGGGATCAAAGTCTCACATTCATGTCAAGGGATGTTTAATAGAAGCACCATCTCTCCTTAGGGTCAAGATCTGTTCCACAGTTAAAAGCAAAGTCTGTACAGATCTGCACAGACTGCACTTTTTAGAGTTATCCTGAATCCGACCCGCAACAGGATTTGGCTTATTTTGTATGAAAATTACAGCTTGCCGCACAAATCCACAGCACTATTAATCAAAGAATAAAGCAGGTACTAAAAATCACCTTCCTGAGAACACCTGCGCTCAACTAGCGAACTGGCCCTTCTAGGCATTTAGGAAGGCTCTGGTCTTTCCCAAACGATCTTTAGGAAAAGGACTGAAGCTCCTACTGTAAATAACACTGCAAGCTGACTGCATGTGAAAAGCTTCCAATTGTTTTACTACAGATAGGCTCACGTAATTGTAGTCATCGACTGCTGCAGAGCAAACGTAGGCAGGCCCTGCTCTCCCTCCAGAGCCACCCTGCATGCAACACTATAGATCAGTGACTCAGTAGCGTCTAACAGGGAGCCCGGCCACAAACCAAGCATTTCATAACTAAATGAATTAGCTGTGCGACAGCTTGGACGTCAACGCTGGGAAAAGACGTCTAGGTAGCATTAAGAACAGGAGAACTGATCCTGAACCGTTCACCGCAAGGAACTCCATCTGATTTGAGAACTGGGATGCATTCAGCCCCAGCAACCCTACTCTTCACCTGTAGGAACACCGGGTTCACTACATCCAGCCCTCTTAAACACCTGTGACAGCAAGTTCAGTGCAGGATTTGCTTGTTGTCACAGTAGTACACTAGTGAATCAGTCCTATAAAGAGTGCTTTATGGAGACAGTTACACTGAGCACCCACGTGCAGTGGCAGGATGGCATTATCTGCACTTCTTCAGCATGCTCAGGTTATTTAAACATTTTTCCACCAGTGCATTGTGGAGAGACAGAGATATGCATCCACAGCTGAAAAGTCTGAAGCCATTTCAATGATACTGTACTTATCCATACACCAAGAAATCAAACCCAGGAAATTCAGAGCAAGAAGAAACCTTCGTCCAGCCAGCCAAGGTAAGAAGTGAAGTTAAGGTACACAAATAACCTTAACTCTGCCCCATAACGATGCCGTAAGGGAACAAAAGTTAAAAATCTCTAGCTACGCCTGATAAATCTAGTTCATCGCTCAAGCGTCTTAATCACGTACTTCACGGCATCACTTCAAGGCAAAACTGAAGCTGTCTGGATGCATTTCTTACTTTCTGCCTGGATTTCTTTCAAGTGCAACCTTAACTCATAATTCCTTGGTTTTGCAATTATTGCTGCAGGGATAAAACATGTTTCAAGGATGTATTTACCTATACATTACTAACACAACCTTCCTTCTACCCTAGTTTATGCAGGAAACCCGCAACACAGTTCTGCTGCGAAGATCTGCAGGCTTCTGAATGCAGTGCCCTTTGGAGCTATGTAGCATCTTTCAACAGAAGACTTCTCACAGCAAGTTGTGGAGGTGAGCAGTTAACACCTCTCATGGACAGAGAGAGGGAAATAACTTGCCCAAGGCCATGCACATTTGCTGCTCTGCCAGGGTCTGGAAATGCTTTCCGACTCTGTAGGTTCACCTACGCTAGCAAGAGCGACCTACTGAAGGTTCAGCTACAACAGAGAGAGCTTATTGCTTTTGCACCCTTACCTACATCCTGAAAATCAGTAATTCTGGAGAGATTTTTGCTACTTCAACACTAAACGCTCTTTTTGCTGGTACGCATTTTTTTAAATTAAAAATGAAAACTTCATCCTTATCTAACAAGCACAGTTATGCTAGACTTAGGCAGACAGAACCAAAGCCTAACCCGTTTTTCTCTCCCTTTAGAGAGTTACCCACCCTTTCATTTCTGCAAACTCTTCCACAGAAGCAGAAAAGCTCCTGTTTCCTCAAGTTGGTCTTTTCCAAACATTAATCCCATAATTTGCCTAAAGCTGCTAACCCAAAAAGTAACTGAAAATGCCAGAAGTCCCAATATGAGGGCTGGTATCAGCATTACAGTAAAAATCCAGCTGTTACCTGACAGAACTGTCCAGACCTCTCAGGTTAAAAACCTAGGTGCCTCTTTCTTTTCCAAGATTGTCTACAGGCACTACAGACACTGGCTACAGGACTCTGTCCAATCATTCAGGCCAGACAAGGATCCTGTTTCTCTCTTGTAACCCTTGATATCTGTACTCAGCTCTTGTTTTTCTTGCTTTATACTTGAGATCAGCCCTCTTTAGGGTACAGAACACATTTGTTCACAATTTGCACAGCACCTAGTCCAGTGAAATTCTACTCACTGACCCCTGGGCACTAAATAAGCAAAAACTTACATCTTCTCTTCAAGTCCACCCCAAAGCTATTTCGTTTTGAACAATAATCTAACTCACTGTAAAAAGAAAGCAGTGATGTTCCAGAACATCTTACTTGTACCTGTCCTACCTACGTAACTGATTTTGCACTTGCTTTATTGGAAGCTAGGAAGAACAGAAACCTTTTCTCCTGCTGAACAGGACTGAGCAGTCCCCTATTGCTCACAAGCTAACCAATCCCCCAGGGATCACCAGGAGCACATCTCCTCTGGATAAAACCCTCTGTCAAATATGAATCAATGGTAAATAATAACCTGTTGGTAGCCATGAAATAGGAAGTTTGTGCCAAGTCCTTGCTGGCTGAAAGAGAAAAGGAAAGAGCAAAGAGTTAGTCTGGATATCCTGAGAAACCCTGTTACATTTCACTTTAAAGAACCACAGGTCTTTTGTCGCCAGCACAGAAAAATAAGAGCCAGCACAGTTTGCCTAACTTCACATAACAGCTACAGAAGACTTTTAGAAGTTACAGAGGTACAGACACAGTTTTGTGTTACGCCGTGGTTCAGTGCAGCCACGGCATCATGCGAGTCGCTTGCAACCCCGTCTACTTTGAAACATATTTTCACAGTTCTTTTCTTTCAAGCTCAAGTTACTCGGAGGAGCAGCCCTCCGCAGCAGGGCACTCCCAAGCCCCCCAGTGCCTGACATCTCTTACCTCGCACTAGCTGCGTGCACTTCACCACGTGGGTATGCGGGTGGTCAATAGTGATCTCAAAGCCTGGAAGAACACAGATATATGGCCATCAGACAACTAGCAGCACGCTCCCAGAGATCTACGAACCTCACGTTTCCTGCTCGTGGGGGACAAGCCTGGTTCTCCCCTTCCCTCCTATAGCCCCTGCTCTCCGCTCCGAGGTGAGCAGGAATAGAGGAGCGCGTTTTCCTTTATCCAGAAGACTCAAGTTCTCCAGTCACAAAACCTGAAGGTCACGGCTGCTGCCAGGCCTCCAAGCAGCTAAATGACTTCTGTGCGTGAAAGACCTCACTGAAAACAAAACAACTATTAAGGATTTTAAAAATAGAAGGACAAAACCTCTTACAGCAGCTGGGAGGAAGGAGAAGACAATGGCATTTGCTCAGAGGAATTTTTCTCACCCAAAAAGCTAAGAGGAAACAGACGTCTTCCCTTTGAAGGAGACTACAGCATTAAAGTCAACTGAACTTAATCCTTGCTTCAGTTTCCTATTTAGTTTGTACATTATGGTTTAAAGAAAAAAATTTCAATTCAAATCTGTCCATGTGGGTAACAGATTTGGCTTTTTCTGTGCAGAATATTCTAGATGAACTGTGAAGTTTAAAAAAAAAAAAGGCAACTGGAGAACCAAACACAGTAGATCCAAAACTCGGATCACGAATAAGATCCTCGATCTGACAGACAATCACACCCCTTACTGTGGGCTCCAGGTTCTATTTTCAAAAACCAAACAGAAAGAAAACTGTGGCTGGGATAGTTCAGTTTAACGCTAAAAACAAAACAAAACAAAACAGCGACCTGATCAAAATATTAACTTTCAACTCAGGTTTTGTTAGACATCTCCCAGTGCAAACAGCTTCCATTCCTGGCCACTGGACTAGAGCATTATCAAGTTTAACAGCATAACAGAGGACAGCGACCAATGTCCGAGCAGTACAAACCTGTTGGGGAAGGGGGGTGAAGGGGGGGTGGGAAGAGACGAGCCACACTTTCACATGTTTTTTTTTGTGAACACTGAACTTGACACAAGTTAAACCTGAAAATGTTGTTATTAAAAGGAAAACACAAGGTGTGGGTGTGAAAAAGAGTTTGTTGCCTGGACTCTTGCTTTCCCACTGGCCAGCTGTGCATCTGCCCTCCAGCTGTGGAGAAGACTGTGCAGTTAAGACTCTCCGCCCTGCTAAACACTCCTGGGTCTGGGATTCGTGTGGCAGCCCGTCCGCTTTGAAAAACTTACCCAGGGTCTGCAGTATTATGCTCTCTAGAATGACCAGGTCTTGGGCTTGTTGCAGGTAAGCCTGGGGTTGAGAGGACAGGCAAGTTACTCACGATGAGGCACTCCGTATAAAGCCTGCACATTTCTAACACCCTTTCTCAGGGAGGCAAAAAAATAGCAAAGGGGAATCTTTATGCCCCAATCTGGACTGGGGAAACTGGCACAGATTCCCTGCCAGAAGAGAGAAAGCAGAGCGCTGGGTGGACCCACTCCCCTGCTAGTTCTTGCTCTACAGGATTGTTGCTTCAGGATCCGCATTGGCCCTCTTAGTCCTGGTCCCTCAAGAGAGGTTACATGGCACGGGATGGCTCTATGAGCAGTACAGGATGGCGTTTAGCTTTCTCCTTAAGCTTTGGCTCCTGGATAAAGCTTCCCCTTTTCAGCAGGGTTGGCTGCTTAGTTCCAGGTAAGACGGGCTGTCTTGAGAGATAGGGAATTGGCAACGTTTCTAATAAACCCACAATTAAACAAGCGGGAACAGAACAGAATCAAACTGCGCACATCATTTGCTGCTCTGCCACAGACGCTATTTAATCCCAGCAGCCAACATCCACGCTCTCCTCAGAAGCTTTTTAATGCAGACACTGTTACACAGCACATCTGAGTCACATTCGCAGCAGCACAGCAGAGGAAAACAGAAGAGAGGTTGCCACAGAGCAGGAAAGAAAAACCTTCTGCTGTACAGAAGCCAAAAACCTCTCTGTAGTAAGAGAGCAGTTGAACTGAGCTGTAACTAACCATCCTACGACACAACCACTCATTTAGAGAGTGGATGCTTATGAGCCTGATTTAACGAGACGCTGTAGCCACGTGATCTAGTTATATCAGCAGAACTGCACGGTTCAGGATGCAGCACACTCCCACCATTCCCATTCTTCGCATCTCTGCTCCTCACTTCACAGCGCGGTCCTCCCATCTCCACACTTACCTCGCTCCTTGTGTCTGGAAGAGTTTCCAGGGGGTGCAGACAGGCATGTGCTACCTTGATTACGTGCTCCAGTTTACGAGGCTGCTCCTCCACCTTGGCTGCCAAGAACAGAGCCGCCGGTGCCACCGACTTCAGAGAAGAAAAATATATTTTTTTAATTTTTTAAAGATAATAAGCTCAAGACTAAAGCAAATAAAGTAGGCTAGTTTTTTTAACGATACGATAAATATTCTTTTGGGAAACAAAGCGTGTCTAGGTAACTTGGGGGGGAGCGGGGGCAACAAGGGGGACTGTGACAG